GTGGTACCCGGAATAGGCGTCTAAAAAATACAATCTCTCGCATCCCGCAGTCGAGTCGACAATTTGGTCGATACGAGGGAGAGGAAAATGATCTTTCGGGCAGGCCTGGTTGATATGTTTGAAATCAATGCACATGCGAAGTGACTTGTCCTTCTTGGGGACCATGACGACATTGGCGAGCCACTCGGAGTGGTATATCTCTCGGATAAACTCTGCCGCCAGGAGTCGAGCCACCTCCTCGCCAATGGCCTTTCTCTTCTGGACGGTGGACCGTCGAAGATGTTCTTTGACAGGTTTTGCTTTTGAGTTGACTCTTAGGCGATGCTCAGCCAGCCCCCTGGGAACACCCGGCATGTCAGCAGGCTTCCATGCAAAGATGTCCCAGTTCTCACGGAGGAACTGGATGAGCGCTTCTTCTTATTTAGAGTCAAGTGTTGTGGAAATATGGGTTGGAGCTGCGCTGGGGTCGGTCGGGTGAATGTGAACGGGCTTCATCTCACCAGACGACTGGAATGCTGACTCTGTGGCGGGCTTCTTGGCCCGCAATAAATCACTCGGATCTGCATTTTTCTTGTATTCCTCTAGCTCTACCACTGTTATCTGGGAATAGGCAATCTTCAAGCCTTTCTAAAAACACTCTTCTGCCTTCTTCTGATTACCAGTGATAGTGATCACGCCTTTGGGGCCGGGCATCTTCAATTTGAGGTACACGTAACATGGTCGAGCCATGAACCGTGCATAAGCTGGTCTCCCCAAAATAGCGTGGTAAGCGCTCTGAAAATCCACGACTTCAAATGTCAGCTTCTCTTTGCGGAAATGCTTTGAGTCGCCGAACACCACGTCTAGAGCTATTTGGCCGAGTGACTCAGCATTCTTTCCAGGTATAACTCCATGAAAACTCATGTTGCTGGCGCTGAGTCTGGACATCGGAATGCCCATTCCCTTTAGCGTCTCCGCATACAATATATTCAGTCCACTACCACCATCCATCAGCACCTTCGTCAGTCGAGTGCCTTTGACGACCGGGTCGACCACCAAAGCTTGCCTCCCAAGGGTGGCTATATGAGTCGGATGATCGGACTGGTCGAACGTAAGGGAGTTTGAGACCATCTCGGATAGCTTGGTGTCGCCGGGGCGACCATATTTACCTCACGGTTGATAACCTTCAATCGACTTTTGCTCTCCACATCAGCAAAAATCATCAGGGTGGAATTGACATGGGGATATCCTTCATCACTGTCCTCTTTGTCCTCTGCCTTGTCCGACTCCTTTTCCTTATCCTTGGGCTGTTTCCCTTGGAACTGCTGAATTAAGAGCCGGCACTGGCGAGTGGTATGCTTTGGGTAGATGAAATTACCCTCTTCGTCTTTCTTCGTGTGGATGTGACACGGCAGATCCATCACATCATTTCCTTCCTTATCTTTCACCTTCTTGGGGTTCCAGGATCCTTTGGGCTTCCCTTTGAATTTGCCCTGAGTCACGGCCAGAGCCTCTCCAGGAGCCGCTGGCTCGGCTTTCCGCTTCTGCTTCCGACTGGAGTTTCCTTTTTCTGACTGACTCGGCTTGTACTTGCCACTCCGGAGTCGATCCTCTTCTTCACCATTGGCGTACTTGGTGGCAATTTCCATCATTCGACTCAGGGTCATATCTCCGGTCCGACCAAACTTCAAACTTAACTCTCTGTTCTTAATGCCATCCTTGAAGGCGCAGACTGCCTGATGATCAGACACGTTCTCCACCGTATGATGCAAAGTGATCCATCTCTGTATGTAATCTCTCAGGGTTTCATTCAACTTTTGCACGCAGACTTGCAGCTCTGTCAATCCGGCTGGTCGCTTGCAAGTTCCCTCGAATGTCCTGACGAACACTCGGGAAAGATCTTCCCAAGTGTAAATGCTGCTAGGAGCTAACTGATTCAACCACGCCCTGGCCGAACCCTCCAACATGAGTGGTAAGTGTTTCATGGCCACCTCATCATTACCGCCGCCAATCTGTACCGCCACTCGGTAGTCTTCAAGCCAGGTTTCAGGCTTGGACTCACCGGTGAACTTACTTACCCCAGTCGCCAACCTGAAGTTGGGGGGTATCACTGCGGCTCTGATGGCTCTGCTAAAACATTCTGGACCTGAAACATGGACTCGAATGCTAGTGGGCGCATCTCTGTCGTGCCCACCTCGATGAGCTCTGTTTCGATCGACCAAACCTTGCACGATGATGGATCTCGCGTCAAAGCCTGGTTCCCTGGGGTCGACCGGAACTCGTCGCCCAGCACTGCGCTGGTGCCTATCATCTTGCTGCCGATGAGCGTAAGACCCACCCCTTGGGGGAGGAGTGGGCACTCGATGCCGATCATCACGATCGAATCGGTCATCATATTGGTCACGTCGACCTTCGCGTCCCTCACGCCGCGGAGGCGATCTTGGGCTATGAGACGATTGAACTGTATTCGCAGCGATGGATCGACTGTGAATCCTGTTGCATGACTGTGACACAGCTGAATTCTGATCTCCTGCTACTCGGAGCAAATCCCTGATCTGCATCAAGCCTCTGCCAGCCTTCGACTGAGAGGGCTGAATTGACTCTGCTATACGGGCTGCAGCTGCTAGATTCTGAATCGGGGTTCGATATACCTGAGTTGGTTGCGGAAAGAGTTGACGTCGACTGGAGTCGGGTACTCGTTGCCGCGCGCGTTCGTCGAGCGCTCGCTGGAGGTTCTCCAGTTGAGTGCGCTCAATCAAGTTGGCCAAACGTGCCTCCTCCAAGGCGCGAGCCTCGAGAGTTTCTCCTGCGATGGGAGTATGCAGGGCATCCATGTTCCAGCGACGAAGATCTTCCCTCTGCAGAGAAGTGAGCGGCTCGGGTTGATATTCCTTGTGGGCCTGAGCGGGGTCGCCTCGCCGTCTATCCCGTCGGTGCGAGGGAAGCCGGGAGTGCTACGAGGCCCATTGACCATCAGAACCTCCACCGCCGGATCACTGCTGTCGCACTCGGATGCAGTCTCTACGGAGCCAGTCGACAGATCAAACAGGTCGTAGAGAGATTCGTCGGGCTCGATTGCCGCGACTTGGGTGGTGGCCGATTGGCGAGCCACTGCGTGTCTCACCCACCGCTGAAGCCTCGACCGACCAGAGCGCTTGCGCTGGCGGGGGACAGGGAGGGAGGACGATGCAGGAGTCGACCGATACAGAGTCGATGGTTGCCGTAGCAGGACGCCGCGGACGCACGCCCGAAAATGCGTCGCACCGCGGATGGGGAGCACGTCGATGTCGAGTGGAGCCTCCTGGAGGAGCCAAGCGGAGTCGTCGGCGATGAAGGTGAGCGCGCCGAGACGGACCTCGCGGCCCTCGACCAGAACTCCACCAGAAACCATGATGAAGGCAATCAGAACAATTGCAACTTCTCCAAAAATCGCTAAGACACCTGCCCCACGGTGGGCGGCAACTGTCGTGGTACTAGGACTGACAGTAGAATGAGGAGTATGTATGAAGAGGCAAGATCCTAGCTATGGAGCAGTTGTACACGCAAGGGATTTACGAGTTCAGGCCCTTCTCGGAGGAAGTAACAGCCCTACGTCTCGGAGCCCGGAGGCGGTCGACTGGATTATATGCGTATGAGTTACAGGGGTGCGAACCCTTTACACTGAGGAGGGGGGTGGCTTATATAGTGTCTGCCAGACCCCTCCGACCCTCAGTTATGCAGGGTTTAAAGTACATAAAGGATTGGCGTTACTGGAAACGTCCTACATAAAGTGTCATCATGGCCATAAAGACTACTTAATTACAGATCGTTTGGATACAGAGTGGCTCTTGATCTCCTGGTGGTCGAGTGGGTCTTCATGGTCGAGTGCCTTCGAGTCTGTCGAGTGGATTCCCTCTTGATCGACTGGAAGGCAGCTTCTTCTGAAGATGTCCTTGGGGAGGGTACTTTGGACAGGTCCGTGACCCTACCCTACGTACATGACTTCATCAAGTGGTGGATGCAATGGTGCAAACCATACCCACATCACATGCTCCTGTTGCGGCTGGGCCACAACTTCGATGGATACTTCCGCCTGCAGGCTGGACAAAACTCAACGTCGATGGCTCGTTCTGTGCATCGACTAATACGGCTGGAGCGGGTATGATTCTGCGCAATAGTGTTGGCGAGATCATATTCTCCTCATGCAGAGAGCTGAGGTCATGTGCGGAACCCCTAGAGGCCGAACTGCTTGCACGTATGGAGGACCTGACCCTTGCCTTACAATGGAGGCAGCAACCTATCATAGTGGAAATAGGCTGCCCTGTTGCTCTCAGCATGATCATAGGAAGAGAGAGAGAGAGAGATCGGTCCTATTACTCCATGGTTGTGGATTAGATTAAGAGGCTCATGGAAGAAGGAAGATTAGTTAAGTTAGTGCATGTACGTAGAGAGCAAAATGGCATAAGTCATTACCTTGCTTCCTTTGGTAGAACTGAATGCCGCATGGCAGGTCCAGGTGATATCTGTGACCTATTTAAGAATGAACTGGCTTCTGAATGATCAATAATAATCCCTTTTCACCCACGAAAGAAAAAGAACGCTAGGTGTATTTTCCTTTCCTTTTAAAACAACGCATCCCACGTTATGTCTTGTATGAGAAGTTATTACCTTGTAGTACTGGTATTGTCCGTCATCCCGTTCCTGTTACAGAAAAGAAAAGGATTAGCGCCTCTCGTGATGAGCGGATCATACCAAGTGTGAATTCGAAACGGAGATTTTATTTTTGAAAACAGTTCGAAACGGAGATATTATTTTTGAAAACAGTTCGAAACGGAGGTGTTGTGTCGAGCCGAAACACCGCGACCCGTCTCCCGCAGACATGCGGCCCTCCTCGCCCTATATAGCACAGCAGTGCCGCCCCCGGCGCTCCAACCAAACCTGCACCGAACCCGAAACAGGCCAGGACTCCACGAGTCAAGTCAGCCACCCGCCAGCCAGCCAGCCAGCCTTCAACGCTCACCCACCCCGCCACGACCACGACCATGTCCTCCTCCTCCTCCTCGTCCATGGGCGCGCTCGCCGCGGCCACTGCCATGGCGCTCTCCGGCTCCCTCGTCCTCTTCTCCCTCCGCCGCTTCGCCAAGCCCAGCCTCGACGACGACGCCCCTGCCTCGGACGACCCCGCGTCCCTTCGTCCATGCCTCTCCCCCTCCTCCTCCTCCTCCTCCTCCTCAGGTAGGTCGCTGCTGATCTCTTGACGTTTCTTCTTCCTCTTCTCTGTGCACGGGATCCTAACGGAGCTTTCTTGATTCTTGGCGTAACAGACAAGCGGCCGCGCGGTGGGAAGCTGCGGCGGAAGGGGGAGAAGCGGGTGCGCTTCGCGGAGGGAGTCATCGACAATGAGGGCGCGCCCCCCGCGACCAGGTCCTCCTCCGCGCCCCCGCCGTCGCCGGCAGCGGCCGAGCCGACGTGCAGGGGAAGCGTGACGGGATCGGACCACCGGATGCCGGCGAACAGGGAGGCGCTGTACCGCGGCATGCTCCGCGACCGCTCCGTGCACAGGACCGCCTACTCCTACTGACCGGTCACCGACCGGCCGACCCGACGCCCGCTCGCCGCCGTGCTCGATTAGTTACCAGAGCTAGATTAGTCCAGCCCGTCCCCGTCCCCTGCTTTTGCTTGGTCCTGTTGCTTCTTTCTTGGGTTGCCGTTGGTGTCTGGTTGCTTTGGCAGGCAGGCAGGCTGTTGACTCCTGGTGTGCAAATGGATTGTTAGCCAATTAGGAGTAGCAGTAGATGATTTACGCTTTGGTGTCGATCTACCTTTGCATTTCCTGTGTACATAAAACCACCTGTCATGTTCTTTCGTCGTAAGATGAGAAAAAGGATGATGGAAGCCTGGGTTCAGTTTGCTTCGTACACGCAGTTGCATCTCAATTACAGTAGTAGTTTTGTGTGAACATATCTTGAGATATATCTTCATGATTACTTAAAAAATTTGTGTGAACATATCTTGAGATATATCTTCATGATTACTTGATGAAGGAACAGAACAGGTGATTAATTGATGGAGGGCTGGGGAAGGTTGTTTTGGGTGCGAAACGGGTACGCGGGTAAACACCGGACGCGTGTAGACCGCGGACTCGGCCGTCGAGCGGCGGGCGACGGAGCGCTGACCGCGGAGTACCCCCGCGCTACGAATGAGTCTGAGCCGTGTTAAACTCGGTCGCTGCCGCGCTCAGCTCAGCCTGTGCCACCCTTATCGTGAGGCGCGGTCATGTTCAGCGGTAATTCATTTTCTCTCTCGTACAAATACCCCAAAACCGAACCAACAAAATTTAAAGCCGCGAACTAACCGATCCATAGTTGGATGATTAGAGAGACAGTGGTATTTTCAACCCAACACGATTCAAATTCTGGTGTTTACATTATACTCCCTCCGTGTTGTCTTTTTCGAGATTTCAAATGGACTACAACATATGAATGTATATAGACATATTTTAGAGTGTAGATTCACTCATTTTGTTTCGTATGTAGTCACTTGTTGAAATCTCTAGAAAGACAAATGTTTAGGAACGGAGGGAGTAAATCCTAGGATTATATGCCAACTCAGTCTCTCGAAGATGTTTATAGGTATAGGGTGTGCACGTGTGCATTTATAGGGGTGAATGTATGCGCGTGTGTATGAGCGCTTGCATCTATACTGTGTTTAATTTTTTTAAGACATGTGAACTTGCTGCATTGTAAGAGCATCCGGAGGTAGCAAAATCTGTACCAAACGCCCGCGTTAAAATCGTCTGTTACATCAATGAACCTCAAACTTCATACCTTAAATCCATAATTGTCATGCCGACTGAAAACCTACGTACTACGTACATATGCTGTCGTTGTCCGAACGAGAGGTGATGAGCTCGTCGATCTTCACCCTATGCTGTCGGATGAAGTGCGCGGTTGGCCTCTACATAGGCCTCATCCTGAATGGACTCGTGGATGGCGGATTGAGCCACCATCTTCGCCGCTTGCACAACATCGTACTCCTCTATGGCGTCCCCCATCGCAAAGCTTGCAGCCGGCTCCGCCTCCTCCATTATGGGCTGGGGCTCCGCTTCCGGTGGTTGCTCCCCCTCCTCCATCGCCTGCTCCTCATCATCCTCCTTCTCCCCCTCCGGCGAATTCGGAGGCAGGCCGGTAGTGAAACGAGTAGCAAGTCTGGCTCGGATCTCCTCCGTAGCCGCCGCTCCGGAGTGAGTATGGAGTAGGTGGTGATCCAGTGCCTCGGCATGGCAAGCGGGCGACATACTGAAAGTGGTGGCGCGGAGAGGAGAAAGGGGAAGAAATGGGGTAGGATGGGTTCGGTTGTCGCCGTCCGGCTTAAATAGGCGGCCTTGCTCCCTCGTGCAGCATGTCAAAGCGGCGCCATACGATGTCAAGCAGAGGAGGCGCCCGCCAATCTAGTGGTCTCTCTGTGTCTCCACGTGGGCCCTATCGATCAGTCTGACGTGGCGTCCGCGCCCAGGTATCCTCATATCTACTCAGATATGAGCATAGTATAGGGAGTGTCGATCAGTCCGGTCATTTGGGCTGGCTATAAGAACTCGGTTGGGTAGCGAAACACGTCCACATACTGGCCGGGCAGCCCATCAAGACGTTTGGGGCGGGTATGAGGTCCGGTTGTAGATGCTCTACGCTCGTATAATCACCCCGTTGGTGTTAACCGTTTTAAACCCACAATACACTATCGGTAGCTCTTGTTTTCTCGTCACAATTAGTCACGTTTTTGGTTGAATATACAAGTACACATGGTATATCATGCATTATGCTCCCTCCGTTCCTAAATATAAATCTTTTTAGATATTTTAAATGGACTACAACATACGGATGTACTCCCTCCATTTGGAAATACTTGTCGAAGAAATGAATACGAATGGATGTATCTAGAACTAAAATACATCTAGATACATCAAATCCCGGGACAAGTATTTCCGGACGGAGGGAGTATGTAGACATATTTTAGAGTGTAGATTCATTCATTTTGCTCCGAATGTAGTCACTTATTGAAATCTCTAAAAATACTTATATTTGAGAACCGAGGGAGTATTCACGAATTTCCCCATGACTAGCAAGAAAAGTGTGCTGGCAAACACGGAAATGCTGACTGCTTCCCTCGGTCCCCTAGGGTGGTGGCTCAGGAAGCCGTTGCATCATGCAAGGATGCTGCATTGAAAGGTTTTGTGTGTGTTGCACATGTGATCTCGCTCGGTTTGGCCGTAAACAGGTTGGTGCCGGAGCGGGACAGGCAGCGCATGTTCACAACCGGCGAGGAAGATTCCTGTATCCACTTTTGGTGTAATATACCAGTGTAAGTACACTGCTTGATTATAGTACTATATGAAGGCGAGTTGTATATGCCGAGCATGCGGACCGGGAGCAGAATAAACTAGGACTTGCTTGCTGGTCTTCTACCTACCATTGTACTATTTCCTTTGTGCTTTTCCTCTTCTTCCTACAAAAAAGCGATAGTAATACAATATCAGGAACGCAGCCGGGTGCTTGCTCGTATCTTCTATGCTTTGATCAATTATTTTTCTCTTTGAAAAAACGAGCCTTACATGAGGTCCAAAAGGCACACAGACTACCACATCGTGTATGTGCTAAGCAACCTCAAAACAAACAAAAGGCGCACAAGTCAGGCTTAGTGCAGCAAATACAAGTTTTTTTACGATAAATGACATTTTATTCATAATGTAGCATCAAACTGGTAGAATGCATGATGACCAACACCTGGCCTCTAAAAACTGAGATGCACACAGCCAAACGTCGTCAGTCTGACAAAAGAAAATAAAATATCGACATATCGGCGACAGTAGAGTATAGTGGACCGACCTGAAGATTATGTTGCTACCAACATCTGGGGGACTCCCTCGCCACCCGCTCTAACCGCATACACACCACATTAAACAACAGTTGATACTCTGTTCGGTGTAGCGTAGACCACTTATGAAGCAAGCATGTATAACGAAAAATAACCTGCAAAGGAGAAGAGTTTTTGCCATTAAAAACCAAATCATTTCTATGTAGCCAAAACTATCATAATAAGGCATAAGCTTCCACTCTTATTAGTGCTTTGAATCTATTTGGATGACCATCCAACCGATGACCGAAGATATTGGGAACATGTCTGGCGAATACAAACTGGAACCTATTTGGATGACTGATCACGTAAAACGTGCAAACTTGCACTATACGAAGAGGTGTCTGATTGTCTTGTCATGAGTATAAAAACTACATCTTTTGTTCCTTGCCAATTGTGACCGGCGAGGTTGTCTTTGGTTAGCAAAACTCTCCTCCAAAGATAAATATTTTAACATTTAGTGAAATCTTCGTCTCTCAAATTTTCTTGTTATTATCCTCTGGAACCTCTGAATGTGTGAGTACACAATGCATAGAGTCGACTATGAAGAATCCAGATGCAGTGAGATTCTAGCAAAACACATCCCATACTTGTGTCAGCTTAATCAAATTCAATGAGGGTAAAAGATTTTGTCATGGCATAAGATGGGAGCCAATCAAATCTCTCGTGAAAGAAATATTCAATGGGAATGAACTGAGCATATGCGCAATAGTACCATTCTTATCGCAAACAATGCAATACAAAGTTGGATATTATTCTTGGAGGCTTGCATTGCCTAGCCACTTATCCTCTCAGAAACGAATCTCCTAGCGTCTTTTATCGCAATGGAACCGAAGCGGAAAATGTGTTTCTTTGTTGTCATTAGACCATCCCAAAAGTGCAAGTCCCCATGTATGTAATGGGCCCGAGACACATCTTTTTCGCCTACATACATATTACGTAGCGGAGATTTCTAAACTTCATCCGCAATTAATAGTATGAACAACCATTTACAAAGTAAGGCATCATTCTTTACTTGTAGGTCATGAATACCAAGTTAGCCTCTGTCTTTCAGCCTAGGTTCATTTGGCGAGCCTGTACCTTTTCTTTTCATTGTCTCCTTGCTAAAAAAATCTGGATCTGAAATAATTCAACCTTTGCAAGACACCTATTTCGAGTTAAAAAAGAGAGTATATAGAGAACCATATTTGTGAGGACAGGGTTGATTAAGACCAGTCGTCCTCCAACAAAGAGCAACTTGCCTTTCAAACTTCTCAACCGCTTCTTTGTGCGCTCCTCTACATGTTTCCACTCTGCATTAGTGAGACGCCAATGATGAATCAGAATTCTCAAATATTTAATCAGGAAATCACCTTGCGCAAAACCAAATAGGTCAGCGTAATATGTCGCCACCTCATTGGCTTCTTCAAATCAAAACAATTCGCTCTTGTAGAAGTTAAGTTTAAGACCCGACATTTGCTCAAACGTTGAAAGTAAGACTTTTAGGTTGCGAGCCATATCAGGGTCATGTTTCATAAAAAATGCATCGACATATTAAGGAATAGAGCGTCCACCATCCATAGTTGTGGCACTTCTCCTACAATATGTCCGTCCTACTTGGCATGACGAGACAGAATAGTCAACATGTTAACAACAATCTTAAATAACACTAGAGACATGGAGTCACCCTAG